TATCCTATAATTATTATTATTGCTACTACTCCATTGTGTGTTTGTGTGTGTGTTCTTGGAGACTCTCACTCTGTGTGCACCTGTGCTTGCACCTTAATAATGATAATGAACTGCTTTTTGCAGTGGGAAAAAAGAAATATTAATAATAACAGATGAATTTATATTTATAATTGCGTATATACACACATATAGACGTATATCTTTAGTAGATGTATTTCTGTGTTTATTGGGTAAGTTGGGCTAATGATTAATACCTTTGTTTTTTGCTTTCGTGGTTTGTTGGGGCGTTGTGCTTTTGCCCTGCACCGTTTTGGTATTCTATTTTGTTCAGAATAGGAAAATAATAATAACTGTTACACAGAAGTTAATGTTTTGCTATGTTGACCAACGAATGAAGAGCTATATTTTGGTGTATTTTCTTCTCTTGTTTGGTCGTACGTATAATTTATTAAATCATTGTTTCTCTTCTGTGTTTATTGAGAGTTTCTGTTTAGCATTGGGTATTGTGTGTTTTGTTTCTTTAATTGGACACTTTCTGAGTGATGGTTATGGATTTATGTTTGTTTTCTATGTGTGCTTATATATATTTCTTGATGTGGAGCAATGATTTCCTTTCTTGGTGTTTGTTTTCTCTTCTTTTTATTTGCTCAGAGTAGTGCCACCATATAATAATAACAATAACTGTTCTGCTGACAATGCGCCACCTGCTCTGTGTGTTGGTTCTCTCATTCTGTTGTGTCTGCGGATGTGTGCTGGCTACTGCAGGAGGTGAGGCCGCTGGAGTTGGCGGTGCTGCTGTACAGACCCGGGATGGTGTTCCTCATTCAGAAGATGCAGAATCAGAAACTCTTCAACAATGTGATGCCGAAGGGGAAGCGACGGAGAAACCTTGCAGACAAAAGCCCACAGAAGAGTTGTCTCCAGAACCTAAAATAGTGAAGCAACAAGACCCTGATCCCAAGAGAGATTCACCAGACACTACCTTAGAGATAAAAGGTAACGGTACTACACATTCGCTTGAAGGTTCTCCACAGAGACAATCCCAACC